AGGGGGCATAAATTTAATAAAATGAGTTTTATGAGTTGGGGCCCTGCAGAGCTTCCCTAATTAAACTTTATCCTCACGTTAAGGCCAGCTCCCTCTTTTTGAGACCAGCCTATCCTTTTTTTTTTAACTTCCTGTCCTTGCTTTTATTGATAAAGCCATTATTTTTTGCCAAAACCAGTGGACGGAGCTCATAAAGTGACAGTGTTTTGCCCACACTCTGCATTATTGGGTGACAGGAAGAATAAGTATACACTTTCGGAAGGGAAATAAGTCACTCCCTCATCATAGAAGATTTCGCCGTCATCATGACTTTTTTTTTTCTTTTTTTGGAGAGGTTTTTTTTTTTTTTTTTTCTTTTTTGCTATAGGGTGCGTGTGCTCACCAGAGAGACAGAGAGACAGAAAGCGAGAAATCACCCCCCAGGGGGGATGGCCACACCGTAATTCCTTCTCCTCCATTCACCTCTCGGGATCTTGGGCACGCATGCACATGCGCCCGGCGTGAGTTTAAGCCACCGGGACTGGAACTCAAACTGCGATCGACTATGTGGGAGTCCAGTGACATAGCCATTATGCTAACTGCTGGTTCCCTGTCATTATAACTTTAAACTAGAATTTCTGGATGAAGAGTGGGAAAATATCCTTTTCAACCTAGGAAAACAATGTTTACTTTAGGAGACATTGTATCAAATAGATTTTAGATTAAAATATTAAGTTGAGGGCTAGCCTGTGGCCTGGTGAATAAGAAGGCTGGATCCCACATGGCCACCTGTGGGTTCAAATCCCTGGAGGCTTGAAAAACACACTGAGTAGGGGCCAGCAGGGGGCATGGTAGTTAAGGTGCTGGACTACCACATGGTCGATCGCAGTTCTAGTCCCGGACTTGGACTTGATTTCTCACTTTCCTCTCTCTTACTCTGTCCCTCTCTGGTAAAATAAAATAAATAAGGAAAGCTAAATGAAATCATTTAAAAGAAAAAGAAAAACACACTGGGCAGGTGTGCTTGTGTGCCCCAAATCCTGAAATGGAGGAGAAGAGATTTTGGCATTACCATGCACCACGGGGGATGCTTCTCATTTTTCCTCTCTCTCTCTCTGTCTCTCTGTCTCTCTCTCCAGTGAATGAATATGCAAAATTTAAAAAAATTAGCTTGTTGAACCAAGGGAAGATGTCTGTCAGAGTGCTTACCTATATTCCCTTACATCTAAAGACTGTACTGTACCCGTCACTATTAAACTGTTAAAACTATTTTATGAAAGCCTTTCTAAGTGATTTGTTAGCACCCACAGCTAAAATCGCTATGTGCAACCATGTCTTCAGGGAAAATAAACTTGTTATACAAGCCACTATAAACTTCTATAAAAAATGTGTATCAACTTTCATTGGTAAGTAACGTTTTCAGCTATTGAGAAGTCAACCAGTTGTATACTGAGCAATGGATTAAGTAACAGTGCCAAATAGGCCTCTATAATTCAAGGCAAAAACCTTATAACATGATCTCAGTGACAAACATTCACTTAGAAGTCACTTGCTTTGTTATATTGATTTATGTTTTGACTACATAGGTAAGCAGACAGATGAGAGATAATTTAGAGGGGAGTTAATGAGCTCTACTCCCTTCAAAAATAATTGTTTTAAATCATGTTATCGTCTGTAGAAGGGATGGGACAGGTCATACCATAGATACAATTTTGCAGTTTCTTTAAGGGCAGTGATCCTAAACTGTGAATGTATCACATTTTTAAAGTCAATATTTCTTAAGATACCATTATATTCCACCTGTTGTCATGTTTTAAAAAACAATTTTTTTAGTTTTATTTATTTATTTATTTTAATCTGACCAGAGAGAGAGAGAAGGAAAGTGAGAAAGCAAACTACCAGGTCTGGGACTCAAACCATAGTCAACCATGTGGGAGTGTCCAGCACCTTAACCACCACGCCACCTGCTGGTGCCTACCTGTTGTCATTTTATAAACAAATGCCAAATAATGCTTCAGACTAGTTTCCTTGAAAAAATAATAATTCTCATCAATGCCCCTCCCCACCCCAATGCCATTCAGATACCGTTGTTACGGGGAGACCATGTGAACTTCAAAGCTTCTTGTTCAAGGTAGAGTCGTAAAACACTTTCTGTCGTGTTCATTTTACTTCCATTGATTGTTTCTCATGAAAATTAAGTGCTTCCCGGAATTTTGTCATCTTAAAGTGTATAGGGAGCTGTGTAGAAAGACCGTAGAGAACTTAATAGATGAAAAAAGAATCTGGAGAAAGGGACTCTATTACCATTATAGTTTCTTTCCCAGAAATAAAGTTTTGCATACGAATGTAAGTCAGTCTTTGCTCTGGGCGATGTTAAGTAGAACCTAAATAAAATGATGCCAGGTATTGATTCAATGTCTTTTAGCATCAGGAGATAGGCCTTCTTAATTTCCAAAAGCAGAGTAGGAACATTTAAAAAGCGATCCAGTGTTCAAGAATATTTTACTTTCTATTTTAATAAACCTTTGTTTATGCCTAGAGGTGCCATTAAATTACCAGCCAGACATGAATCCGCTGCTCACTGGGGACTAGTGTGCGCACACTGATTATTGCTGCGGTTTCACTTGGGGCTCTCTCACACTCTGTTTAAACGCAGTCACTGGACAGAAGATTAAAAAAAGAAAGTTTGGGGACCAGCAGTTGGCATAATAGCTATATTGCTGGACTCCCATGTAGCTGACTGCAGTTCAAATCCCAGACTCGCAAGTGTGTGTGTGTGCCCAAGATCCTGAGAGGAGAATGGAGGAGAAGAGATTGTGGCGTGGCCATCCGCCCTGGGGGGTGATTTCTCACTTTCTGTCTCTCTGTCTTTCTGGCAAGCGCACACACCCTATAGCAAAAACCTCTCCAAGAAAAAAGCTTGTGCTTCATTTATATCCAGAGATTATTCTTTTACCAAAAATGGGGATCAATAGTTGTTTATGATGAAGGTCAAATAACTGTAACAGCAAACTTTTAAAAATATGTAATTGCTAACGGGGAGTGAAAAATTACATTCCGTTTTAATTTGAAGAAATGACTGAAAATAGGGTGGTTGATGCCAGATAGTATGTTGTGTCCAGTCCGGTCTAAGTCTCAGAGTTTGGCATAGAGTTCGAGGGTGAGAAATGGGATGTATTCAAGAAGATAACCCTAGAAGCACTGATCTCCACTTCTGCAAATGTACAAACGTTTTCCAATGATTTATTTACTTAGTCAATTAGTGCACATGTCAGAAAATTAATATTGCTGTGAAACCTGTACCTCAATGGGTTTGGTATGTTAATAATAATAATGATAATAATTCGATTATAAATAATTCATCCTGTACCAGTACAGTGGGTAAATGGCATGATGTTTCATTGATGAGTGATATTCATTTTTTTTTTAATTTCAAAATAAGAATGTTTCCACGAAGCGGAGACTCAGCGTTCTAAATGTTTTTGTTAAAGTTTTAAATGCAAATCAGAGCATAGAAAATCTAGTCGATGATTTAAAATGCATTTTTATACTGCTTTCAGGTGCGGGAAGCAAATATTATAGCAGTTGATGAAAATCAGAAAACAATGCTGGCAAAATGGAGCCATTTTTCTCTGCTAAATGAAATGCAGAGAGCATTCTTTTTTCTTTTTCTTTTTTTTTTTTTTTTAAGAGAGATTTTTGCTATAGGGCACGTGTGCTTGCTGGAGAAACAGAGACAGAAAGCAAGAAATTGCCCCTCGGGAGGATGGCCACTCCACAGTACCTTTTCTTCCATTCTCCTCTTGGGATATTGGGCACATATGCACATGTGCCCAGTGTGAGTTTTAAGCTGCCAGGTCTGGGACTCGAACCATGGTTGACTACGTAGGAGTCCAGCAACGTAATCATTATGCCCTCTGCTCGCCCCAGCTTTGGCTTTAATATGTACTTGGTAAGTCCTTGCCCTCGTGTTCAATTCCCTCCGACTAAGACAAAGGAACAGATACTAAACTGTGAGATGCACATCAAGGGACTCGGGATGGGCAGGAAGACGAGCCGTAGATGACTCCTTGGCTTGGGACTTTAGTTGGCAGCGAATGCAGTGTTCTTATTGAAAGTGTGTAGTGAAGAAGGTTGGCATTTCTTAAAAATAAAGCTTTCATTGGGAAATGAAAGTAAACAGGGGTCAGGAGGTACTGTGTGGTTAAGGCACTGGACTCCCACATGGCTGACTGCGGTTTGAGCCCTAGATCTGGTGGCTTGAAAATCACTCCAAGCACATGTGTGTGCATGCCCAAAATCTGGTGAGGAGACTGGAGAAGGGGGTTGCAGCATGGCCGCCCCTGCCCCTGGTGGGGGGTGACTTCTCACTTTTCTTTCTCTGTCTCCTCTCTCCAGAGAGCAATGTGCCTTACGGCAACCCTCCCTCACCACCACCCCCCCAAAAAAAGAAATAAAGGTAAACAAAAGCAACAGCATAAAACACATGATTTTACACAGCGTATCTTCTATTTTAACATTAGGATCTAGCCATTAATTGATCAGTTTATTGTTTATTCGATTTTTATATTCATTTCCATTCTGTTTGAGAACCCATCCTTGGATATTTTCTCTTCGCATCATCTTCAATTCTTCTCCTTCTTCACAGTAAGAATTAGCTTCTTGTATGCATTCCCTTCATATTGATGAAAATATATGTAATTGGTCAGCTGATAGAGTTCTTAGAGAATCAAAGCACTATAGGGCATGCTATCATGATTCAAATAGAATCCTAGACTTTTGTGACTTCACCCAATATTTTGTAAGTGTATCACCCATATATTTATATAAAAGCAATTTTAAAGCAGTATTTCTAAAGCATTCTAGTTAGCCTTCAAAGAAATAATAAGCTTCTTTCTTTTTAAAAAATAATTGTATTTATTCATTCATTTATTTTAATTTGACCAGAGAGACACAGAGAAACAGAGAGAGAGAGAAAGTGAGAAAGCAAGTCACCAGGTCCGGGACTTGAACCGTGGTCAGCCATATGGGAGTGTCCAGCACCTTAACCACCATGCCACCTGCTGGTCTCCATAAGCTATCTTCTTCTGTAATCATATTTCATTAGTCTGGGAAACAATGAAATAACAAAATCCAAATAATAAGTACAGAAGGCATAATCTGGACCGGGAACAATTGACTTGGTAAGAGTACGTCTGCTGTATTCCTGAGTAACTTCACATTAGCCTGTGGGAGCAATACCGAAGCGATGCTTAACTGGTGTTTAGGAATCCAAAAGCTCTGGGTCCAATCCATACTCTGCAGTACATCCTACTCACTGTGGAAACCTTCAGTAAGTTGTTTATTCTTTCTGAAATTGGGTTTCTTGAAGAGAAGTATGAGCTGCAGCTGGTGGTGTGGTGGTTTAGGCAACTGAATCCCACATGCCCGACCACATGGTTGGAGTCCTGGACTTGGCAGCTTGAAAAACACACCGGATGCATGTGTGTGCTCAAAATCCCGGAAGGAGAGAGAAATGGAGGCAAAGGGACTGCGGCGTTACCATTCCCCATGGGAGGTATTTCTCACTTTCTCTCTGTCTCTCTCACAAACACACACACCCTCTGGCAAAGTGAAAAGAAAAAAAGAAAATGAAAAGAAGCATGGAAATCAGAATTCCCAAAATGCAAGATTAGATCATATAGATAAGATTGTCCAGAAGAGCTCCTGGTACACAGTAAATTCTTGATAAATACTCATTTCCTGGGGCCAGCAGTTAGTGTAATGGCTATGTCACTGGATTCCCATGTAGTCGACCACAGTTTGCGACCAGGACCCGGTGGCTTAAATTCATGCAGGGTACGTGCGTGTGTGTGCCCAAGATCCCAAGAGGAGAATGAAGGAGAAGGGATTGTGGTGTGGCCATCCCCCTGGGGGTGATTTCTCGCTTTCTGTCTCTCTGTCTGGTGAGCGCACATACCCTATGGCAAAAAACTCTCCAAAAAAAAAAAAAAAGTGCTCATTTCCTTACTTTGCTCGGTAACACACATTTCTATCATCCCTACCCCTCCCCAACTCTTATAGCCAATTATACAGTTATAAAAAGATTTGCTGAATAGTCAAATTAACCCAATTTAACCCTAGGAAATAAAGATTTTCATAATGTGTTTAATAGATTATCCTAATGCCTTGAAAGTGCTATAAAATAAAAATCGGTGGGTTTCTGGTCTAGAACACAGGTGAGCATTTCAAAAGCAAATATTAGGCTGGTGCAAAAGTAATTGCAGTTTTACATTGTTGAAATCTACCATTGGATATTTGTGGTGATGTAACTGGACTCCCACATGGCTGACGATGGTTCAAGTCTTGGACCCAGCAGCTTGAAATTCACTCTCTGCATGAGTGCCTGCATGCCAAAAATTCCAAGAGGACAATGGAGGAGAAGGGATTGCAACATGGTCCTCTCCCCTGGGGGATGATTTTATGCTTTCTGTCTTTCTGACAAGTGCATACTCTCTATAGCAAAAATCTCTCTCTCAAAAAAATCATCATTTCAAAGTGTCCTCTTCTACACAGCAATGAACCATTTCCTGATCAGACTTTAATGTGCTACACAAAGAGGATTGTATACAACAACTGGCAACAACCAGATGAGAGGTTGGATGGAGAAGAAGCCCTAAAGCACTTCTCAATGCCAGATTTGGGCCTATAAAAGGCCATGGTCACTGTTTGGTGAAGTCTGATCCACTATAGCTTTCTGGATCTTGGTGAAACCATTACATCTGAGAACTATGCTCAGCAAATCGGTAAGATACACTGAAAATTGCAATGCCCACAGCTAGCTGGCATTGGTCAACAGAAAAGGCCCAATTCTTCTTCACCATAATACTCGACCACACAGCACACAAGCAATGCTTCGAAAGTTGAAGGAATTGGGCTACAAAGTTTCGCCTCATCCACCATTTTCACGTAACCTCTCTCCAATCGACTACCACTTTTTCAGCATCTCAACAACGGTCTGTGGGGAAAATGCTTCTGCAACCAGCAGGATTCAGAAGATGCTTTCCAAGAATTTGTAGAACCCCAAAGCACATATTTTTTTTTATACTACAGGAATAAAACTTAATTCTCATTGTCAAAAATGTATTGATTGTAAAGTTTTCGATTTCCGTTAATAAAGATGTGTTTGGGTTTAGTTACAATAATTTAAAATTTGTGGTTTGAAACTACAATTGCTTTTGCACCAACCTAATAACAGGATCAGTATTTCATGGGTTCACATATCAGTTTGACCCATGCCTCCCCCTCACTCCCTTTCTTTGTGATAGTAACAACTGGCTACTGGAGAACAGGAGAGAGAAGAAGGGTCTTTAACACAATGGGCTCATTCAGGAGCCTTCTCTTCCCATGCCCCATTTCTCTGCCCTCAAGAAAGTATTGTTCTTGGGAACCAGCAGTTAGCGTAATGACTATGTCGCTGGATTCCCACGTAGTCGACCGCGGTTCACGTACCGGACCCGGTGGCTTAAAACTCACACCGGGCGCGTGTGCGTGCGTGCCCAAGATCCCGAGAGGAGAATGGAGGAGAAGAGATTGCGGCGTGACCATCCCCCCTGGGGGGTGATTTCTCGCTTTCTGTCTCTATGTCTCTGTCTGTCTGGGGAGCGCACGCGCCCTATAGCAAAAATCTCTCCAAAAAAAAAAGAAAAAGAAAGTATTGTTCTTTTGGTGTGATAAATGTATTGACCCCAACTTTTGGCAGAGCCTGAACACCAGTAGGCCTCTTCTTGGGCCCAGTGTGAGTTCTGATCCAGCCCTCTAGAAGCCTTTTTTTTTTTTGGAGAGGTTTTTACTATAGGGCAAATGTGCTCGCCAGAAAGACAGAGAGAGACAGAGAGACAGAAAGCGAGAAATCAGCCCCAGGGGGGATGGCCACACCACAATCCCTTCTCCTCCATTCTCCTCTCAGGATCTTGGGAACACATGTACACGCACCTGGTGTGAGTTTTAAGCCACTGGGTCCAGGATTCAAACTATGGTCAACTACATGGAAGTCGAGTGTCATAGCCATTGCGCCATCTGCTGGTCCCCTGTGCCAGCCCTCTAGAATCCATGTGGGCCTTTGCATGCTTTTGCGTGAACATCAGGTCTGGGATGATGGAGGAGCGCAATGTGGATGACTCTGCTCTACAGAGATGTCATAAGGATAAATGAAATGATTTTCATGCAGCACTTTAGGATGTTCTTATAAAATGCACCTTTGTAAATAAGAAGTATTCTAAAAGGCCAGTGTCTGCAACGTCTAGTTAAAATTGCTGACAACAATTTCAACCCTGGGAAGTAAACGCATCAGCTCGAAATTGAAGTGCACTTTGCTGGGTAGAAGCAGGCTGATGGCCTCTGTGGGTTCTTACCACAAATAAGGCTAAATGTTAGCCTGGATCGCTGCACGCGCGTCCATCCACCCTCCTGCTCTGCTTTTTACAGGCATCAAAAGGCTATGGCTTGCTGCTGGCCCTTTGTGAGCCAGCAAAATCTGAACTTGTGGATTGGCCTTAGGGCCTCCAAGGACATTTCAGTCTATCTCGAGAGAGCTGAGAGTAGAGCCGTCGTGCGGCTCCTGAGCTGCAGCAGGGTCCACACCTGCCCTGTGACTGTAGTCTCTCGGAGTACATCAAAGCCATCTAATGGGGGTTAGTGTGAAGCAAGATCCAAGCGGCTCCTTGGCAAATCTTCAGCTGGAGGAGAAGGGATTGTGGTGTGGCCATCCCCCCTGGGGCTGATTTCTCGCTTTCTGTCTCTCCGTCTCTCTCTGGAGATGGGAGCAGACTCTCAGCCTTTAGGCCATGGCCCGGGAATGAAGCATTAGACCTGTAACATGTTTGGAGCTTTGCACGTGCAAACACTGAATGTTACACTGAATGTTACACAGTGAATGTATACTGCAGAGGATTCTTTATTTCTGATTCTTTTTGTAGAGCTTTTTGCCTTAGGGTGCGTGTATTCCCTAGAGAAAAAGAGAGACAGAGACAGACTGACATCCCCTGGGGGGATGGCCACGCCACAACCCCTTCTACATTCTCCTCCTGGGATTTTGGTACTTGGGCACACACGCTTGCTGTGAGATTCAAGCCACCAGATCTGGGACTCAAACCGTGGCCAGCTATGTTGGAGTCCAGTGATGTAACCACTGTGCCGTAGACTGACCCTTGGGGATGTTCTAAGACGCTCATGGGGTGCTATGTGTTTTCTATCCCATCAAGCAACACATGGTCCTGAACTGGAGGTCAGGTCACATGCTAATTCAGCACCCGGAGAGCAGAGAGGGGATGACCTGGTAGTGGCGAACCTGTGTGAGTTGACAGAGGAGCAATTATTGCAATCCGGAGAACTGGGATGAAAATGAGCACTGGGGAGCCCCGGAGACACCCCAGGCAATTATGCACGTGGCACCAGGTTTTAAAGTTGCATGGAATAAAGCCACAGAGACTCAGCAGTGTGGGACCTGCAGAGGACATCATAGTTACATTGCTGGACTCCCGCATAGTTGACCATGGTTCAAGTCCAGGGCCCGGCAGCTTAAAACTCACACTGAGCATGTGTGTATGCATGCCCAAAATCCTGAGAGGAGAATGGAGAAGGGATTGTGGTGTGACCATCTGTGTGTGTGTGTGTATTTTGTCACTTTTTGTGCCTCTTTCTCGCTGATGAGCACACATACCCTATAGCAAAAAATCTCTCTCTCTCAAAAAAAAAAAAAAAAGACAGTGGAAAATAAATAGGAATGTCAGTAAGAGGCACAGATGGTGCCAATCTCTGAAACAAAGCTTCTCAAACAAGTCACGGTTGCTGCAGGTGCACTCACTCCCTTTAGCCTCAATCTTTCCTCTCCATCATGGAGTTCTCCTTGGGTTCCGTAATTCTTTCCTCCCAGGAAGGCACAATGGAGTGCCCATTAAAAAATGCACAGAAGACAATGCAACCTGAAAATCATGAGTGAATTCATTACTGATTGCTGACACGTATACAAATACACCAAGTAATAACTCAAAAATAATGTATGTCTTTTCTTTTAAATATTTAATGGGAAGCCAGAAGGGAGGCATGGCAGTTAAGGTGCTGAACTTCC